TGAGCGGTCTTCGCGACAATCGGCTTCATCAGGAAGTTGCCCAGGGCAGCAACAATCTTGCAGTCAGTGTTCTTGAGCGAGAGGGGTCGCGTAGCCTTCGCCAACCTTGTCACGGTCTGGCGGTCGTCAGGTTCAGAGCCCTTCGGAGTGAATATCAGCAGCGACTCGTTGAAGTCCAGCGGTACGGGGAGACCTCTCATGATCTCGTGCGTGACATTGAGGAGGACTTGCGCTGCCATGGGGGTCTTCTTCCAGGCCATGTACGGAAGGCCGTCAGGACCAGGAGCTGAGTTGTTCAAATGTCCGATGAGGTGCTTCATTTTGCCAATCGTGGGGATGTCCATGTCGGAGCAGTCGAACTTCTGGGCGTGCTTCTTCAGGTAGCGGACGACGTGCTGAGTGTGGCTCGACTTCGGCTGGAATGCTGGCGCCCACTGCTTCTGCAGCTCCGCAATCATCTCATTAGGGTTGGACGTCTTTGAATTGTCGTGCAATACTTCAATGGCCTTGAGCTTCAGAACCTTGCCAAAGGGGGCCCACAGCTTGCCACGCCGTGTGATCGCCCTCTGCATCTTGCGAAGCCGCTGACGCTCCCAAGCGGGTGTGTCAGGTGCTTTCTCCTGCGAGTGTATAGCTTCCAGTCGTTCATCTTGGTATTGTTGCTGGAGTTCATCAAACTTCCTGCTAAACTCCAGTGGGTTCTTCAGGGTGACATTGGGCACGTCCGACATACGCATACAGATGTGTACGCATAAAGGTTTGTGTATATTCATATAATCCGGATATACACACCTATATACATGTACAGCATAAACTATGTTCAAGACACCTGGGCCAACTTCCCAGACATGTCTTCAAACAGACATGGGCAACTTTTCGCGTTAACGATATGGGACGAACGTGCTCACGAAGCTGGGCCAGCTTCCCAGTAAGCCAGTCATGAAACGCTGGCCCAGATTTTCGGGATGAGGTTTCTTAGTCTTATTCTCGGCTGTATGTATGTGCTAGTTGTGTGAATGTATGTCCGTGTGTATATATTCAGGTAGATGTACATACACATATGTATCTCTCTCTCTCTCTGTATATATATATATATATATATAGCTGCCTGGTGATAGTGTATGACTTGCAATAGTTGCAATGCTTTCTTTGGAGACCCATCTGGAGCGCAGCCAACAGTTCATAGTCTGCATTGAAATCCCATCGGCGGGGCCCTCTCGGACAACAAAAAACACTGGTGGAACCCGATCGGTGGGAAACCCATTGGGGGCACCCGATCAGTATGAGCCTATTCACGGGGCCTGGCGGTGGGCTCTCGGTGGGCACCCTTTCGGTATGACCCTCTCGGTGGGAACCTATCGGTGGAACATTATTCGGGGGACATGATCCGTGGGACCATCTCGGCGGGACTCTATCGGTGGAACCCTATTGGGGGAACCATGCGGTGGGACCCTGTCGGTAGGACCCTATCTGGGGGACGCTCTCGGTGGAACCTATCGGTAGGTAGGACCCTATCCGGCGGAACCATGCGGTGGGACCAATCGGGGGGACCATATCAGTTGGACCCTATACGTCTGACAAGCAAGCGAACTAGGAGGGGGATGCGACGCCGCGCAGGGCTGCGCACGCGCTCACACACAAACGCACAATCACATACAACACGCATAAGACTCACACACACACTTGTCCTCCTCGCCAGCATTGCACCAACCGCTAGTTGTCGACTCGCAGGGAGCACGTGGTCTCTGGCGCACGCGGGCGGGGCGACGAGCCACTCGGCCGGTCACGACTCAAACATCGGGCTACGCCGCGCAGGGCGAGGCTACCAAGGATCCACCATGGTGAGCCGGCAAGCGCACGGGGGCACGCGTTGGCCCCTCATGGGGCAGTGGCGGGGCGCGGCGGGCAGCGGGCAATGGCGGGGAGCAGCGGGCGGCGGCGCCAAACGGGCGCCGCCGGGCCAGGCCCCTAGGGGGCGGCGGCAGGAGGTGGGCAGCAGCAGCGGGGCCAGCAGCGCCGGCGTCAAGCCAGGCAGAGGCGTGTCCAAAGGGGCGCGCTCGATGGCGAGCGTCTCCAGGTCGTCGAAGGGCAGCAGCTGCGCCAGAGGGGGCCTCCAGGATGCCTCCACGGCTGGATCGCGTCAGGCACTGCGAAGAGAAGCGATCGTTACCTGCCGCGGGGCGTCACGGATGCCTCGAAGAGGCAGGGAGAGGCCAACGCACAAGGTGCGCGGTGGGCGAAGGCACTTGAACGAAGGATTGCAAAAAAACGAAGGATTGCAAACGAAGGATTGCAAAAAAAACGAAGGATTGCAAAAAAACGAAGGGTTTTTTTGCAATCCTTCGTTCAAGGTGCGCGGTGGGCGAAGGCACGCCAGCGAGCCGCGATCCTCTCGGCGAGGCCGTCGCCATGGATCCATGGGCGGCGCGGGACAAGGTCGAGCCGCGGCGGGCCGCGCAGGCCGGGGAGGCGGTTCGGGAGCGCCGCCCCGAGCTCTTGCGAGGGCGCGGCGTCGCGCAGGATCGCAACAAAAAAACCCAAGATTTGCAAAAAAACCCAGGATTGCAAAAAGGATTGCAATCCAGGTTTAGCAAACAAAAACCCTGTTTTTTTTTGCAATCCAAGGTTTTTTTGCAATCCTTCGTTTTTTTTTTTTGTTGTTGCAATCCTTCGTTCAAGGGGGGCGCGTCGGCGGGCCAGCAGGGATCTGGGTCGGACCGCGAGAGGGGGGATCGCAGCAGCGCGCCAGGGAGCACACACACACACACACACGCGCGTGCATGTGTACACTTGTTCTAAGCCGGCGGCGCAGAGGATCCTCAGGCGCGGGCGGCAGATGAAAGTGCCAGTTGCGATCGATCATGGTCGAAGGCCGAATGTACAAAACGTGCTCACTATCGTGCAACGACGGGTAGTGTAAGGAAGAAGCGTGAACCTAAGCGAACCGTGCAGCGGCCAGAAAGCCGAGGAGGCAACTCAACTCGAAGTAAGCTGAAGCGCGAGCAATCTGGTGCGAATTGGGGGCAACTGAATCACCAAAGAGGGTGTTAGACAATGAAACGCAAAAAAGACTTGAAATAACTGTATCGGCTGCCAGACTGGCCGAAAACACACGCACACACAGATGCAAACACTTTTTTCTCCGCTGGCAATGTGGTACCATAGTCGCGTCAAGAAGAAGGACTGGGAACGTCGGAATAAATTGCCACCCCGCGTTGATGATGGCGATCGGGAGTGAAATGGATGAAGAGGAAGCGAGCCGTGCAAAACAAAAAGGCATGTAGCATGCATAACACGCCGTGGAGGAAACACACGAGCTAGATCTACAATAGCCACATGCACACACACACACACGCGCGTACACACATTCACACGCACTCGTATACGCCCACGCGCACACAGAGAGGCCCACATCCGTTTCTCCAACGCTCCGAACAGCCCAATCGGTGGGCAATACAAAGGGAAGCATCACGGAATTGCCTTCCTTGCGAAGTGGCGTGGCAGAGCAATACTGCCCAGATCCGCACACTGTGTTTTCGTCCGATGCGCCGATGACTGCAGTCGACGAGAGAAGGGACGCACTCAATATTACACTGCCGCCCTCAGTGCGAGCGTGGGCAAAACCGTGGCCCTCGGCGATTTATCAAGCGGTGAAGCCTGGTGGGTGCGGGAAGGGAAGACGCATATTCAAACACAAAAGCGCCAAGGCAGGCAAAGCAGGGAGGGAGAGGGGCGGAGGGAAGAGGGAAAACGGGAAACCATGCCAAGACGTGTCGACCCATCGAGAGGCCGGGCCCGCGTGGCGGTGCGAGCTGGAATGTCACTTGCACAGGTGTTCCTCCTCCGCAGAGCTGCGCCAACAACTGGTTGTCTACTAACGGGATGTGTCAACATACTATGCAATCGCGCGTGTGGCGATGGCGCCCAAATCCAAGCCGTGCTTTTCCAAGCTGGGAGACGGGCCCGGGCGACCAATTCACAACGGCAAACGAGACACGCAGTGGACCCATTGGGAGCGTTGTGGCGGAAGACATGCGCGCCGCGTCGAGCGAAGTAGGAAACGATGCAGACCGTGCCCAGAAACAGGATGGCCACATCTGGCACAGGGCAGAGGCTCCCCAGATGGGTCGCTGATGCAACGGCCACGTCCCCGGGGAGAAGATCGGAATCCGCACCGAGCCGCATCGTCGATGCTCCGGCGATGCGGCGCGATCCTCCGACCCTGTTTGCTCCGACCCCACCTGGGAGGCCCAGAGGTCGAAACGAGCACGAGCTCTTGCGGCCACATGGGGTCAGACAATGAACGGCCAAGGCCGAGGCTGGAGGCCAAGCCGCCACCAGGCGCAAGATGTACAGGCAATGTGCCAAGAGAAATGTAAACGGACAGCTCCGCCCACGGAGAAAACACACACCGTTCTCGAACAGCTGTGCGCACAAGCGCACGTTGCCCGTCCAGGGGCACTCAGCTTCAGATCCGCTTCCCCTCATAGGGGGCTATGACCACGGCTGGGCGGGCGCCGAACAAACAGACACTTGAGGAACCAGACCGCTGCGGGCAGAACGGATGGCCCCCGCGCTGAGGAGAGCAACCGCCAGCGCGGGCCTCGGCCAGCGGTGGGGGGAGGAGGGCGAGCAGCAGCAAGAACAAGTCGAACACAGACACACAAACCCACGCACACGCACACACACACACGAACACCTTTTCCTCCGACGCGCCAGTTAGTCAACCAACGGATCCCGCCGACGGAAGACAGTGCAAACAACTAAGAACCAAGCATTGCTTCAGGAACACATGATGCACATAAGAAAAGTGACAGTTCCTGCTGTTGCTGCTCCACCTCTGCCTCTTTCTCCCCCTTTCTCTCCCTCTCTTTATACCCCCTCTTCCTCTTCCTTCTCCTCTCCCCCTCTACCTCCCCCTAATCCTTTCGCTTCCCATATCTCTGCCGACGCTGCATCTCCTTTCCAGCTCCTTTCTAGGCCGCCCGGACAACGACAACCTGCCGCAAACTCGAGCAACAGGTACGTGGACTCTGAGTCCTCGAAGCAGGAGTGCAGCTCTATGATATTAGGGTGCTTGACGAGGAACTGTGATTTGACCTGAGGTGGAAACGACAGATGGAACATGAGAAGATCTGGAGGAAGATGGAAAGCTGAGTGTAGCCTGTGGACTTGTCTGCTTGCGAAGATCGCTTCAATGCCATGACCACCAAATCAACATAACTCAACCGCAACCGTGAGGCAGATGACGATGAATATTGAGCGAGGAGCTGCATGGGAAACTACCACAAACCCAACAAACATCAAACACAACTGTTGAATGGTACGGTGCGGCCTGCATGCCGGCTCCAGAGGGGCAGGTCCATCAAAGGGGCAGATGGCGACAAAGGACAGTGAAGCGTGCTTGGGTGAAAGTTTAGAGCCCGACGCTCACATCTGTTAGAGGGCGGCACATATGCGATGGTACGTGGATCTGCACTAGGAGCAACAATACTGAAAACGCGTCCATTCTCTCGAACGGGTACCACAATGAGTCGCCCCATCTTAAAAGAGGTCTCTCTGGGTGACGAACAACAGTGTAAGAACACCAAGGCCTCCACTTCAAGAGTCGGCGGCCCAACTCTTTTTCTCCCCTAGAGGACACCTTCGTCGCAAACGTGCATCTTCGAGAAGCCAATGTGAGCGTAGCTTTTGCAGTGGCACTTTATCAGCGCATGCCAACTCCATGGGACGTTGAGACAGAAACGCCTGATCGGATTGTGCAATTTCTGCGGTATGTGGTAACATGCGTATGCAAGATAGGGTCAGGCTTGTTATGCCCAATACGTACGTCTGTTTCAAGGCATTCGTAAGCAGTGTGGTTGTGCCATGGACCCTTGTTTTTGTGTGGATGGCATCCAGTACGGCCCCAAGTGGTTATCTAGCAATTCTGAGTGGCTGCTTGGGTTGTTGACTCCTCTGGTTTGTCTGGGGTTTCCCGGTGTCTTTGTGTTTCAAATGCTCCTCCATTTTCCTTCCCACGACATCTCGCCTAGGAAACGTGTTCTGCAGCTTCCCCTCAACCTTGCTACGGCTCGGTTGCGGGAAAACTTGATAAAACTGGGTTGCTTTTTCCTGGCTCTCCCCCGTGGCGTCCCCAACCTTTCATTTCGCCCCCCTCCCCGCTTCCGCGGGGCTCGCAGCACATCCGGGCTCCCAGATTTGCGGCCTGAGAGGCGCGTGCCTCTGATGTATTCTTGCGATCCAATTCGACGAGGAATGCTGCGCCCATGCCGAGACGGATTTCCAGCGCCTTCGGCTGGGACCCTATCACCCCTGCTGACACATGCGCACTTTGCGCGCGACCGGAAGAACAGCCGAACGGTGCACTCTTCCGAAATGGTGTAAGGACTGGGCGCGAGGCTGGGAACAAGACGACCTGAACAGATACGAAGGTAGGGATCGGAATGATCACACCTAGAGTTAGGAGCCACTCTACCTTAGACAATCCCTGGGTGCGTGCTTGAAATGGGATTCCGCGGCAAGAATGTTCGGTTGTGTTTGCCCGTTCTTTGTTGTTGTCATCGTCCTCGCCCGCGCTCCGCCCGCGATCCACCCGCAATGCTTTGACGAAAATTCGGCGCCTGCGGCGGGCTCGTTGTGTAATATGAATAACCGCCTGCGGCGGGCTTCTTCAGGTCCTCGCAGACTAGCTGTTTGCCCCCGGAGATGGGCCGGCGAATTCTTTTGCGATAAATGGCGAGGTCGCGAAGGGCCGGCGAATTAAAATGTGAGGGTGTCTCGAGCGAAACGCTTTTTCAGAATTTGTTGAGGATGTCCCGAGCGGAACGCTTGTTCTGTGTTATAGATTGTCCTCTCCTGGGGACCTGAATTCTGAGGATCTCTCAAGTGGATTGCTTGTTTTCAAGTGCCCAGGTCTTGAGGATGTCTCGAGCGAGACACTTGGTTTCACGCCTCCAGGTGGCCCAGACAGATGTCTAGCATGAGGAATTGTTGATGTCTCGAACCAGAGGCTTGTTTTCACGTGTCCAGGTCGCCCAGGCGGATGTCTAGCATGAGGATGAGTCGAGGAAGTCTCGATCGAGACGCTTGTTTGCATGTGTCCAGGTTGCCCAGGCGGATGCCTAGCATGAGGATGTGTTGAGAATGTCTCGAGAGATACGCTTGTTTTCACGTGTCCAGGTCGCCCAGGCGGATGTCTAACATGATGATGTGTTGAGGATGTTTCGAGCGAGACGTTTCCAATTCGCCTAGGCGGATGTCTAGAATGAGGAGGTGTTGAAAACGTCTCCAGCGAAACGCTTGTTTTCACGTGCCCAGGTCACCCAGGCGGACGTCTCACATGAAGATGTGTTGAAGATGTCTCGAGCGAACTACTTGTTTTCACGTGTCCAGTTCGCCCAGGCGGATGTCTAGCATGAGAATGTGTTGAGGATGTGCTGAGCGAAACGTTTGTCTTCACGTGTCCAGGTCGCTCAGGCGGATGTCCAGAATGAGGATTTTGACAGGATGTCTCGAGCGAAACGCTTGTCCCCAGCACGTTCCGTAGCGCGTCCCCTTGGCACGTCCTGCGGTGCGACCCCATGGCACGTCCCCTGGCACGTCGCCTGGCGCGTCCCTTGAGACGTTCCGCGGCGCGTCCTCCTGGCATGTCCCCCTGTCAATTAGCTCTGGGGCAGATACTATGTGTTCAGGCAGCTCGAGCTTAAGATCCAGATCAGTTCGGTCAGGACTCGGATGCAAAGGAAGACTCGATCCACGACGCTATAGAGCACAACCACGGCATGGCACATCGTAATGCAGCACGGTGCAGCACAGCACAGACCTCGGCACGGTACATCAACATCGATACAATCAACACTGCAACCTGGCACGTTCCTTGGCACGTTCCGTGGGGCGTCCCTTGGCGAGTCCCCCTGGCACGTCGCGTGGCGCGTCCCCTGGCACATTCCGTGGCACATCCATTGGCACGTTCCGTAGCGCGTCCTCTTGGCACGTCCCGCGGTGCGACCCCATGGCACGTCCCCTGGCACGTCGCCTGGCGCGTCCCTTGGGACGTTTCGCGGCGCGTCCTCCTGGCATGTCCCCCTGTCAATTAGCTCTGGGGCAGATACTATGTGTTCAGGCAGCTCGAGCTTAAGATCCAGATCAGTTCGGTCAGGACTCGGATGCAAAGGAGACTCGATCCACGACGCTATAGAGCACAACCGCGGCATGGCACATCGCAATTCAGCACGGTGCAGCACAGCACAGACTTCGGCACGGTACATCAACATCGATACAATCAGCACTGCAACCTGGCACGTTCCTTGGCACGTTCCGTGGGGCGTCCCTTGGCGAGTCCCCCTGGCACGTCGCGTGGCGCGTCCCCTGGCACATTCCGTGGCACATCCATTGGCACGTTCCGTAGCGCGTCCCCTTGGCACGTCCCGCGGTGCGACCCCATGGCACGTCCCCTGGCACGTCGCCTGGCGCGTCCCTTGGGACGTTTCGCGGCGCGTCCTCCTGGCATGCCCCCCTGTCAAATAGCTCTGGGGCAGATACTATGTGTTCAGGCAGCTCGAGCTCAAGATCCAGATCAGCTCGGTCAGGACTCGGATGCAAAAGCAGACTCGATCCACGACGCTATAGAGCACAACCGCGGCATGGCACATCGTAATTCAACACGGTGCGGCACAGCACAGACTTCGGCACGGTACATCAACATCGATACAATCAGCACTGCAACCTGGCACGTTCCTTGGCACGTTCCGTGGGGCGTCCCTTGGCGAACCCCCCTGGCACGTCGCGTGGCGCGTCCCCTGGCACATTTAGTGACACATCCATTGGCACGTTCCGTAGCGCGTCCTCTTGGCACGTCCCGCGGTGCGACCCCATGGCACGTCCCCTGGCACGTCGCCTGGCGCGTCCCTTGGGACGTTTCGCGGCGCGTCCTCCTGGCATGTCCCCCTGTCAAATAGCTCTGGGGCAGATACTATGTGTTCAGGCAGCTCGAGCTTAAGATCCAGATCAGTTCGGTCAGGACTCGGATGCAAAGGCAGACTCGATCCACGACGCTATAGAGCACAACCGCGGCATAGCACATCGTAATTCAGCACGGTGCAGCACAGCACAGACTTCGGCACGGTACATCAACATCGATACAATCAGCACTGCAACCTGGCACGTTCCTTGGCACGTTCCGTGGGGCGTCCCTTGGCGAGTCCCCCTGGCACGTCGCGTGGCGCGTCCCCTGGCACATTCCGTGGCACATCCATTGGCACGTTCCGTAGCGCGTCCTCTTGGCACGTCCCGCGGTGCGACCCCATGGCACGTCCCCTGGCACGTCGCCTGGCGCGTCCCTTGGGACGTTTCGCGGCGCGTCCTCCTGGCATGTCCCCCTGTCAAATAGCTCTGGGGCAGATACTATGTGTTCAGGCAGCTCGAGCTTACGATCCAGATCAGTTCGGTCAGGACTCGGATGCAGAGGAAGACTCGATCCACGACGCTATAGAGCACAACCGCGGCATGGCACATCGTAATTCAGCACGGTGCAGCACAGCACAGACTTCGGCACGGTACATCAAGATCGATACAATCAACATTGCACTTGCCCGTCACCCAATCAGGTGTCTTTGAAAACGTTGCCATGCGTTACATTTCTATATTCCTTTCCGGGTTCGTGGGTCGATCATGTTGTGGTGCGTCCGTAGCTGCTCAGATGCGCTGGCCACACAATGCCTGCCCGAGGGGTGGACGGGAACGGCTGAAAACCTGCGCACAATGAGATGCTAGTTGTGTAGGCCACTGAGCTGAAGAACTCGCAATCATAACATCTCCCTGCTGTTAATCTTGCAATCGTCACCGTCTGTCGAACCGACTTGAGTCTCCGAGGGCGACCCGAACCTGCATGAACCTGACCCCGTATACATATTTGACATATTTTCGGGGATGGACAGAACCCCCTTTAGTAAAACGTGGTTTAGTGAAAACGACATCGGGCCCAAACCTGGCAAGCGCAAGCCTGGAACATGACGGCCGCGGCGCCCTCTCGAGAACCGAAAATGGACTATCCACTAATCGACGTGTCAGGGTGGGGGTTCTATCCACTCCCGATATTTGACATCTATGGAAGAAATGCCGCGCAAACCGGCCTCTCGCTCCAAGTAGCCCAACATGCCCTGATCCGTCACCTTCTGCTTGCAGATCGTCTTCAATGCAAAAATGCTGCCAGTACTGATGTGTCCGCCGCCGCCCTCTGCAGCGGTAAGGTCTATGAGGCCCCCTGCGAGCGGCCATGACACCACTGCGAAGCATTTTTTTTTAAATACAAAAAAAACACTGCGAAGCAAACTGCGAGGATCCAAGTAGAGCGGCTGCGATGAGCAATCAGAGCGCATGTGCTTTGGCCTTCCCGACGTGACCCTGGGACGTTCCCAAGCGTTTGGCACCACCCGTGGTGACCAGACCTAGTTCGAATCTGTGTGTGGCGGCACTCCGCTGGGGATCATAACAGTGCGACATTTGCGCGCTTGGCAACATCCAGGAAGGGCGACGTGACGTTGGATCTGTGCTCGACGGAACTTCGCCCAACTCGCCTGGGACGCAGGAGCGTGGCGAGAAACTCACGTCTGGCAACAGGGGTTGGGCGAGGGGACTAGCTGGATCTTCGTGAGAAGACACTCCGCTGGGCCCCGACGGGGGCTGCGACAGCTGCGCGTCTAGCCAGCACCCGTGGATGACAGGGGGAATGTATGATACACCCTGCGAAATGCTTTAGAAATCATGGGTTAAGAAATTCATAGTCTCAGAACTTGAATAAAAACCCAAAAATTCCATTCAAATCTTAGGATTTACATCGAAACGTTAAGAATAATCGAGACTCTGGCCGAAAACTTAGGTTTTCTTAAGCATCGCCTGAGGTGTACACGCTCGCACGCATGCGAAAACGAGGTGCGGCCGCACAGAAGAAAGCCGGAGAGGCAGGCGCGGGCGCGGGCACTGGCGCGCAGGGGCATCGGAGAATGGTTGAACCAGGGGCGATGGGGAGGGAAGGCAGGAGCACAGGCCGCGCGCGCCGCGCATCCCCCAAACCGGTGGGGCGCATGAGCAAGAGGAGAGCTGCTGCTGCTGAGCGTCGGCATGCGCGTCTGCGGTGATCGAACGTGCGTCTGCCTCTTGTACCAGCTAAAGACAGATGAGCTGGCAGAGAAGACAACAAGGAAACGACTGGGAGGAGAACAGAGAGGAGAGAGAGAGAGAGAGAGAGAGACGAGGGACACGACGCGGAGCGGAGGGGGGGGGGGGGACCCGAGAGAACGGGCGGGAGAGGAGGAAGGCACGCACCGTGAGCGCGCGCGGGCATGCCTGGCCAGTGTGCCCAGGCCAGGGCCCCAGCGGCGAGCACCGCCCAGGGCCAGGGGCGCGGCAGCGCCAGCGCAGACTTGGGGTGGGGGCCGTGGAGGACCCCCGCCACTCGGGGAGAGAGCCCTTCCACGTCGCGCGGGCGGGCCGCTTCGAATATAGCACGACGACGACGACGACGACGACGACGACGACGACGACGACGTGACGCGCTCCGCTGGAGGCCTGGGCCCGTGCCAGGGGAAAGCTCGTGTTGTGAACGGGCCTCCTCTGCTTGCGTGATGTGCGACCCCTGGCCCCAAGGGGTCCGCGCAGATGGAGTCGGGGGATCGCACCGCCTCCCCGATGCATGGGCGATGCGCGGTCGACATCGGCGATGCACGGGCGACGCTGGCGTGGGGAAAAAATCAGGCGCCACATCGAGCCGCATCGCCGAGGCACCGGCGATGCGGAGGCGATCCGCCGGCCCGATCGTGCTCCGACCCCGTGCGGGAGGCCCCGGGGTGTGGGCACCCCTGGGGAGCGGCCGCGGGGACGGCGGAGCCCGGGCGCGGCCCGGGGAGGGGCGGACCCTGATGGTCCGCTACCGAAAATTTCCGGTAGCGCTCCGCAGAGATCGGTCGCTACCGAAATACCGAAATGTAGCGCCCAATACCGGTATCAGACCGTTCTGAAATCCGCTATTTCAACGCCCTCAAACGAAGATCCGGTCGCTACCGAAATTCGGGGTGCGTCGAAATCGCTACCGAAAATTTCCGGTACCAGACCATCTGGGGATGCGAGGAGGGGCGGATGCGACGCGCGGGGGGGGCGAGGCCGAGCGCAGGGCACGCCCAAGCCGAGCGCAGGGGCCGAGAGCACGCGCAGGCGGAGCACCCGACGGCGGGCGGGCGGCAGGCTCGAAGCCCCTGCGGGAGGCGCGGGCGGGGAGGGGGGCCCGGCAGAGGACTTGTGTTTCTTCATCGGCGCCTGGGATGCATCAGCTGAGGCCTGCCTGGGGCGGCCAGGAGTGCGCAAGAAGAGTCGACTCTCGGCCACTCGAACATCCCGTCGGGCATAACCCTCTCGCTCGCACAGTGCGCATGCTGCCAGCTCGGGGCTCCTCTCGTGGGGCAATGCCAGCCGCGGGCGGAAGAGAGAAGATGACGGGCCCTCAGATCTGACGTTGTTGAAGATTGCAGCATCGCAGAAAATCGCCACCAGAGCCCCGGACCCCCTCATTCTGCGTCATTTTCGGCTACACGCATGAGTGACCCCAGGCAAGAGTGACCTTTGGGTGCGTGGACTAAGGGGCGCAAGGTGGTCAAATCCAAGCGTGCAAGCAGCCGCGAAAGCATCGCGCTCAGCAATCGGGGGGACCCCGATGAGCCCGCACCAACGGTCACTCCGGCGAAGGGTCACTCTTACGCGTAGTCGACATTTTTCGACCCGGATCGATATGTGAGGGTGCCAGGGCCCAACGCCGAGAGAAAGCGCCCGTTGCGAAAAAAATGCAACGCCAGGATCTTAGGGGGGTACGTCCAGGCCGAGTACGTGACGCAACGCGGGGGCGCAAGTCGGGGACGCATTGACCTGGGTCGGTCAGGCCCTGCAGAATCTGCGCCCCAGCCCGGGTCAGTGCACCCTTGGCTCTGCAGTTTGGACGCCCGAAATGGGTATGGAAAAAATGGGTGCAATGCCCAACAACAAATGTTGTCCCAAACCAGCAGCGGCCGCTGTTGGACGGGCGGCCTCCTGTCTCGAATGGACACCGGCCGCGGCGGCGCGGACAGCGAGTCCTGTTCAAAATGAACCAAATCCGCTGTTGGGCATTGTACCCATTCTTTCCGTGCCCATTTCGTTCGTGCAGATCCAGGGCCCTGCAAGATCTGGCACTCCGGCTGGCCCCGGCCCGCTTGCGTGGACCCACTCTTCGGGGATGGACAGACCTCCCTTTAGTAAAACGTGGTCTAGTGAAAACGACCTGAGGCCCAAACTTGGCGGGCGCGAGCCTGGAAAATAACGGCCGCGGCGCCCCTCTCGAGAACCGAGAAAGGACAATTCACTAATCGACGCGTCACTGTTGGGGGTTCTGTCCACCCCCGAACTCTCCAGGCTCCCGATCAGTGAAGGGGAACTGGAACACACAAATAAATACACACAAATAAAAATATCCCCCATATTTTCCCATATTTTCTGGGTTTTTGTCTTCCCCACCACTTCCCATATTTTTGCATATTTTCCTGGGAGTCGACGATTAATTGTGTCTGTGTGTTTCTTTCCCTCCTGAATCAGGCAGGCGACACCTGCTGCAGAAGAGGCAGACGGCTGGAGGGCCCCTCCGGCCACGTGGCCTCTGTCGGCAGCAAGCCTCGGGGGGGAAGTGAGCAGGAGCAGGCCTTCTCGGGAGGCTCGGAGGTCCCCCACCCAGATGGTCTGGTACCGGAAATTTTCGGTAGCGATTTCGACGCACCCCGAATTTCGGTAGCGACCGGATCTTCGTTTGAGGGCGTTGAAATAACGGATTTCAGAACGCTCTGAGCCCTCCCCGAAGACGCAGCAGATTCTGAGAAGTCCCGCCACCTTCTGAGAAGGTCTTCTGCTTCTCACTTCCCCCCCTCGCTCGCCGCCGACTCTGGCGAGCAGGAGCGCGGGGAGGAGAGGAGCGAAGCGGGGCGAACAAGCGGACGTGGGGGAGGTAAGACGAAGCCCGGACGAAGATACATTCGGGTGAGGATAAGCTGAGAATCTCTGAGATCCGCCGGCCCTGGAGGATGTATCTGGCATCGCGGCCTTCTGGGAGCGTTCTGGAACGCTCCAAGAGCGTTCTGGAACTCTCTTGAACGGATTTATCCTCGTCCTAGCCCCGTCCGGGGGAGGGCCGCACGTGTCCAGCAGCGCGTAGGAGAGGCGCACAGGGACGTCACACGGCCACGACTCTGGGGTAATAGTCTGGTCCCGCGGCCGAGCAAACGGCGCGGTGCACGCGAAGCCCAGGGGATGAGATCTGAGACCCCCCGACGAGATCCGACTGCACGAAGGTTGAGATCCCCCACCGGCGAGGTCCGACTGCACGAAAGGCTGAGATCTGAGACCCACGTGAAACGCAACTCCGATGGACCCACCTGAGAAGCAGGAAGACGACAGTGGTGCGCCAGACAGCACCCAGGGAGGACGAGGGTAGCGGCTCGATCTGCGTAAAACAACAACCCGCTGGACCACCCCAGAGACGACGACAGTTGTGTCTGCAGCACCCAGGAATGGCGAGGCTAATGGCTTGAGTTAGGTAAGGCGCAAATCCGATGGACACACCAATGACGCATGGAAACGCGCGACAATTGCACGCCAGGTAGCAACGATGGAGGGAGAAAGTAATAGCTTCATCCGAGTAAGATACCACGCCGCTGGACGCCGCAGGGACGCATGGGGACGGAAACAGTTGTGCGAATATCAAGGGGCCCTGGCAAGGCTCCCCAAGAGCCACTATATGTTGTTCATACACGGTGGCACACTTTCTGGATCCTTCCAAACATCTGCAGGGCCGCCCCGGACAGCCTCCAAGGTCCAGGGGCCCCCAAACTGCCCCTTTGGACTGAGGACTGCTCAAAATCGGCACAAGACGGGCCTAAGGCAACTCAAGATAACACGGCGCCAAGAGTGCTCAAGACCCTCTAAGAGCCTTCCCGACGGCCCCCAGACCCACCAAGACAGCCCCAAGACTGCACCGACATATCCACAATAATCTCGCAGGCAGCCCGCAGAGCCCCGAAGAAAACGCCAACACTCATCCCCTCCACGGCCCCCAACGGCCCGGGGACCAGTCAAGATAGCTCCAGGATCCCCCAAGGGCCCCCCTGGCCCCGAGGCTTCCTAACAGCGCGGCCGTGGAATTCCGTCTGCAGACGAGCATTCACCCACCCAGTTTTGAAAGGCGCAGCAATCTAAGCATTGGACCCATTCGATCTCCTCATCCTTCTCCCTCTCCTCCTTTTACTTCTCCTTCTTCTCTTCGTCCTTTTTCGTACTTTCCCCGCAGCGTTGTCGCCCCACCCAGCGGCTGGCTACGCTGGGACAGCGCTCGGAGGCTCTAATCTGCTGCTCGAGTTTTGTTGGGCTTTGTGGTCGCCCGTCCTCGCGAGACTTCATGAGGCGCTGTCTCTCTTTCTTCGTTCTCCCTCTCCTCCTGATCGCTTTTCTGCCTCCTCCTCCTCCTCCTCCTCCTCCTCCTCCTTCCACTCCTCCCCACCTGCCGTGCAAACCGGCGTGGCCGAGATGCAGCGGCATTTTCTCTGTCCAGGCGTGGGCAAGCCAAGCAAGCCAGCATCCCTCCGCGGCCATGCATCCATGTTCCTGCGCAGCTTTCAGCGTGACATTTCGCAGGGTAGACCCAGACATGCAACGCTTCAACGATGCGGCGACACGACACGCCCACTAGAGTACATACCCAAGCACGGTGGCGGATATGCGCGGAAGCGAAATTGGACAGAACTTTGGTCACCTCGCTCGCGCTCGCATGCGTCAGCAGGAAGAGGGGCAAAGAGAGCTGAATCATCAAGACGCGGAAATACAGTCAAGACAGCAAGAACACCACAATGGCGATGGCAAACTAACATGTATGTCCGTTAATATGTACGTAGCGCCCCGCAATTGCGGATAAGAGTGAGGGGGCGGGCGCGGGCGACGCGGGCGTCGAGCCGGCGGACCTCGTGGCCCTCACCTTCTCTGTCGATGGCGCCCTCCTCCTCCTCCTCCTCCTCCTCCTGCTCCTCCTCCTCCTGCTCCTCCTCGACGCAGGCGCTGAAATTTTGGCTTGTTCAGTGAACGTAGTCTGGGTCGCGGGTGGGTCGCGGGCTCTCCACCTCCAGTTGGAAGGAATTCAAAAACAGCCCGCAGAAGGTGCCGACAATTTTGATTTGTACACTGCACGCGGTTTGGGTAGCAGGGTCTCCACCTGGAACGAATGCAAAAGAAATCCGACGCAGGCGCTGAAATTTTGGCTTGTTCAGTGAACGTAGTCTGGGTCGCGGGTGGGTCGCGGGCTCTCCACCTCCACCTGGAAGGACTTCAAAAATAGTCCGCCGCAGGCGCCGAGCATTTTGATTTGTACACTGAACGCGGTTTGGGTCGCGGGTGGGTCGCAAGTTCTCCACCTGGAACGAATACAAAAGAAGCCCGTCGCAAGCGCCGAAACATTTTGGGTGGGTCGCGGGGTGGGTCGCGGGTGGGTCGCGGTGGGTCGCGGGTGGGTCGGGGGTGGGTCGCGGGTGGGTCGCGGGGTGGGTCGCGGGTGGGTCGCGGGTGGGCCACGAAGGGCAACAGCGGGGACACGAAGGGAATGCGGAGCGGGGGCCACGAAGGGCAGATACTGCGGGGCCACAGGAAGCGACGATGGGGCCACTGAGGGTAGCAACTGGGCCACGTAGTAGGACAGATGCATATGGGGCCACCACGGGCGCGAACGAGCGGGGGCCACGAAGGGCATACATATATGGGGCCACGAAGGGCAGCGAGGGGGCCACGAAGGGATGCAACGGGGCCACGAAACAATGCGAGGGGGCCACGAAGGACTGCAACGGGGCCACGAAGGGCGACGAGGAGGCCACGAGCGGCTGCAACGGGGCCACGAAGGGCTGCACCGGGGCCACGAAACAAAGCGAGGGGGCCACGAAGGACTGCAACGGGGCCACGAAGGGCAGCGAGGAGGCCACGAGGGGCTGCAACGGGGCCACGAAGGGCAGCGAGGGGGCCACGAAGGGCTGCAACGGGGCCACGAAACAAAGCGAGGGGGCCACGAAGGGCTGCAACGGGGCCACGAAGGGCAGCGAGATCCCGATTCCTATGTAATCTGTGAGGGAGTCCTAGGCGTGAACGCGACTCCTGGGTGCCTGGGTGTCCGGAGCGCGGCGCTTGAGTAAATTGCAAGAAATTCCAACGCAAGGGCGCTATTCTTCAGTAAATTGCAAGCAAATCTCCAGCGAGAGCGCGACTCCAGAGCACCGGGATAATACATTCTAAAGAAGTCCCAAGCGAGAGCGCGATTCCTGAATCAAACGCGAGGAAGTCTCGGGCGGGAACGGGGGTCCTGGTTAAAGTGTGAGGAGGTCTCTGGCGGGAGCCGTTGTTGTTGTTGTTGTTGTTGAACATTATTTATTCTAAAGAATAATTATTGTTGGGCCCCCTGGTGCACGCCCCCCCTGCGCCGCCTAGGCCGCAGCTACATTTTCATCATTTTCGTGAGGAAGCCTCAGGTAAAACGATGTGATCCAGATCCGGTTGTTTTGTTGTAATCCGTTTTCCCTTGCAAAAAACACTATAAAATGACATTTCTTGTTCTAATATAATCAAATTTCAAGAATCCCTTGCAAAAAATAAGGTAAAGTGGACATTCGCGCGCGCAAGACGAAATCCTTCCAAAACCTTAGTGTTCGTAGCGATTTTAACATAAAAACATCAAAAAACCAATGGTTTTTCAAAAAAAAAATGTCAAAATTTCATCCCGCGCGCTCTTGCGGATTCGTAGGAAACCCAACACTTTTTAAACATTTCTGTCAAACGGGCTTTTGCGAGCAACTTTTTCGAACTTCTGCAACAACGGTTGCGCACCTGCCAGGGCCATCATCCCTGTCAAATAATACCATGCGGGACACATTCGTTTTTTCTTCGCGCGCGCACGCCGTCGTCGTCGGCCGCGGGGCCCTGAATAGTAGCCACGGTCGTCCGCATGCCACGAAGTGAAGTGTCCGAACGTCATAGGGCGGGAAGCTGGGTGTGGGTGGTGGCGAAGAGTCGTTTGGAAATTTGGTAGAGCTTGAACCGGCCCCCCCACAAAGTGGGGGTATTGCCCGCCTCCTATGAAAACCCTGGCACTGGTGAGAACGGAGTGTCCCCAGTCTTAAATGATTGTTGTTGTTGTTGTTGTTGTTGTAAACTGGGGGCCAACGACACAATTTGACCCTCAAGACTTTCCCTGATAAAAACAAGGTGCGAGCCCGGGGAAGGGCACTTCAATCGCAAACATGATCGACCCACGAACCCGGAAAGGAATATAGAACTGTAACACATGGCAGCGTTTTCAAAGACACCTGATTGGGTGACGGGCAAATGCAATGCTGAGTGTATCGATCTTGATGTACCCTGCCAAGGGCTGTGCTGTGCTGCGCCGTGCTGAATTGCGATGTGCCATGGCGCGACTGCGCTCTATAGCGTCGTGGATCGAGTCCTCCTTTGCATCCGAGTTCTGACCGAACTGATCTGGATCTTAAGCTCGAGCTGCCTGAACACATAGTAGCTGCCCCAGAGCTAATGGACAGGGGAACATGCCAGGAGGACGCGCCGCGAAACGTCCCAAGGGATGCGCCAGGCGACGTGCCAGGGGACGCGCCATGGGGTCGCACCGTAGGACGTGCCAAAGGGACGCGCTACGGAACGTGCCAATGGATGTGCCACGGAATGTGCCAGGGGACGCGCCACGCGACGTGCCAGGGGGACTCGCCAAGGGACGCCCCACGGAACGTGCCAAGGAACGTGCCAAGTTGCAATGCTGAGTGTATCGATCTTGATGTACCCTGCCGAGGGCTGTGCTGTGCTGCACCGTGCTGAATTGCGATGTGCCATGCCGCGGTTGTGCTCTATAGCGTCGTGGATCGAGTCCTCCTTTGCATCCGAGTCCTGACCGAACTGATCTGGATCTTAAGCTCGAGCTGCCTGAACACATAGTAGCTGCCCCAGAGCTAATTGACAAGGGGAACATGCCAGGAGGACGCGCCGCGAAACGTCCCAAGGGATGCGCCAGGCGACGTGCCAGGGGACGTGCCATGGGGTCGCAACGCGGGACGTGCCAAGGGGACGCGCTACTGAACGTGCTGGGGACAAGCGTTTCGCTCGAGACATCCTATCACAATCATCCGAATTCCTACGCGCGGGACGCGGCACGCGCGAGACATCCTCGGAATTCCTGCGAGCGGGACGTGAAAACAAGCATTTCGCCTGAGACATCCTTTGAATTCTGGCCCCCCACGAGGCCACCGCTCGAGACATCCTCCAATTTTGCAAAACCAGCGTTTCGCTCGAGACATCCTCAACAAATTATGAAAAACAAGCGTTTCGCTCGAGACATCCTGTCAAAATCCCAAGAAATCCAAATACCCGCGCGCGGGACGCGGCACGCGCGAGACATCCTTGGAATTCCTGCGCGAGGGGCGCTTTTCCGTGTCGCGGTCGGCTCTGCAAAACCAGCGTGTCGCTCGAGACATCCTCAACTAATTTTGTGAAACCAAGCGTTTCGCTCGAGACATCCCCAACTCTGCAAAACCAGCGTCTCGCTCGAGACATCCTCAACAAATTCTGAAAACAAGCGTTTCGCTCGAGACATCCTCACAAATAATTTCGCCGGCCCTACTCCGTGCGTGCCCGCTCGCAAAATAATTTCGCCGGCCCAAGTCGCAGGGGGGCCGGGGGGTTAACCTACTAAAAGTGAACCCTGGGCCCGCGCCCTTTCCGGGAAAAAAACAATGTGCACCGGACGGGGGGGATCAACAATAATTATTCTTCAGAAATGAGAAGTCAACAACAACAACGAGAATCCGCCTCGCGGAATTCCACTTCAGCCACGCACCCAGGGACAGTGAATGACCGTTCGGTTCAGCCCCCTCACTCTGATATTTTATGTTTGTGTACATGTATATATAAACACGTATATACTCATACATCTACGCAATTGGCATGCGCATGCAGCCTAGAGGTAATATCACGCTACACCAATGCTGCACGAACCGACTGGCTTTTGACACAAGAGGATCAGCGCACAACACATCGATGGGCACGACTTTGAGTACATGTCCGTTCAATGGAAGAGCTGGATGATAGATTCACAAGAAATTCGCTCGCTGCCCGACAGCCCGAGTTCGTGGTAGAGCAGCCCCCCTCCTCGTGGTCTTCAGACACCGTGGATCTGGGCGTGATATCTATATATATATATATATAGATATATGTCAAGGAGCCGTTCCCCTCTCCAAGACCACTCTCCACTGGCCCGCTGATATGTCATCGCCAAGGTGCGTCGGTCAATGCGTCCGCGGCCTCCTGCTACCCTGTGACGTCCCCAAAACGCCGCAAGACAACGATGTATTACAAGACGTCCCTCGATTCGACCAAACCGGCTCAAGACGGCTCCAGCACAGCCCAAGCTGGTTGCAAATCGAAGCCTCCCAGTCGCCAAGATGGACCAACATGGCGTATAACGTATGACCCAAGACGGGCCATTCGATCATACTAAACGCGACTAAAAACCCTGCTGACGGCCGAAATTGCCACAGAGACTCCCTGCGATCCCCCCAGGGAAATCAATACCATAGCACCCCGCAGATGCGGATAAGAGTGAGGGGGCGGTGGGGACGTCGGCAGTCTGCGAGACTGTGGAGAAGCCCGCCGCAGGCGCCAACGTGTCACATAATGTACAACGAGACCGCCACAACCGCCGACTTTTCGTTAAACCAATGTGGGTCGGTCGCGGGTGGGTCGCGAATGGGTCGCGGGTGGGTCGCGGGTGGGTCGCGGGGTGGGTCGCGGGTGGGTCGCGGGCTGGGTCGCGGTTGGGTCGCGGCTGGGCCGCGGATGGATCGCGGGTGGGTCGCGGGGTGGGTCGCGGGGTGGGTCGCAAGTGGGTCGCGGGTGGGTCGCAAGTGGGTCGCGGGTGATCGCGCTTGGGTCGCGGGTGGGTCGCGGGGTGGGTCGCGGGGTGGGTCGCGGGGTGGGTCGCGGGAGGGTCGCGGGTGGGTCGCGAGTGGGTCGCGGGGTGGGTCGGAAGTGGGTCGCGGGGTGGGTCGCGGGGTGGGTCGCGGGTGGGACGACGACAACCAGCAACAAGCAACAAGCAACAAGCAGTAAGCAAAAAGCAAAAAACAACAAGCAACAAAGAGCACACAACAAACATCACCAACAACACCACCAACACCAACAACGGCAACAACACCAACAACAACACCAACAACACCACCAACAACAACGCAACACGCAGAATCCTCACCACGGGTCCCCACTTCAGCCACGCACCCAGGGACACTGAATGACCGTTCGGCCCCCTCACTCTGATATTATGAGCAGGTGTTGTTTCATACTGTATGTGCTTCCTTGCGCTGTTTCAGCGCAGAGAACTTCCAAACCTGCCCGCGACCCCGAGGCCTCAAGGCAGCCCCGAGATGGCCTCTGAAAGCTACTGATCGGTTTCAAGATGGCGTCCACGGCGTCCACTCCCAATCTGTCCACCAGCCAGCCCAGATCGGTTCCAAGGCGCCCTAAGATCTCCCCAAGATAGCCCCTAGGACGACCCCAAACCAGCCAAGATGGCGCCAAGGGGGCCAGAAATGGCCCAAGGGGGCATCGATAAGCCCCAACCTGTCTCAAACAAGTCTGCGCCGACTCCTGCGTTCGGGTCGCCTGTGCCAGTGCGAAACAACGGCTCTTGAGTGGACGATGAGCTATCAAGACTCGGGCGATTGCCCCGCCTGGCAGGTGGAATGTGGCGGGCGCCAAGTCGAGGCGAACACTCATTATGCTACGTGGTGCAAAACTGTTGAACGATTCCTGAAATGGGCAAACGGCACGCGGCTCGCGTTGCTTGGGCGGCTCCAGCGTCCGGGACATGCCCGTCGCCGTCCCACAGACGTTCAACAACCGTCCAGAATCCAATACGGGAGATTGACTGGTCCTAGGATGAGGTCTTGGAGAATGTGAACGCGTGAGCTTCGTTGGAATCCTCAGGCGAGCCACTGGTAAGTAAGGAACAGCACCGTAACACTTAACAACAACGCCTATCACCATGCACACCCAAACCTTTCGGAGCGGAAGGGCAGGCATCGGCCTTTTCACAAAGGAGGTGACAGTAGGTGGGCCTGATATTGTAGCGTGATGCCAAATAAGATGGTGATGCAAGATGTGTGCAAATGCGTGTTCATATAGAAAGCCCACGTCACCTCTCCGAAGGTGCCTCCGCCGAGTCGGCTGCCGACGGTTTGAAAATCTTCGAGCTCGTACTTCTGCGCACTTGTCGGCATTGTTCCAGAACTCACGGTGGGAACGACGGGAACCGAGTCGTCCGTGAGGATGGCCATAGTGGGGACCTCCCAACACGCATATCCTCAACAACGTGGGGAGCAAGACCATACAACAAATACTGAATACCTTCGTAATTGCGATGGCAGGCTGGCGTGACTAGACTGACGGTCATTTTTGTCAAGCTTTTCTTACCCAGCGCGAGGGACGAACAGCATTCCCCATCTTGGGACGTGGCCTCACAAGGAAACTCACCAAAGCCTTCCTGTGCAGTGAACAAATCCAGAATCACGCGACCTGCTGCGGAGATCGAGGCGACAGGCGCACTCGCGCACGACCGCCCACATGGCCGCTTGCGCGACGCATGCTGCAGACAGCGGGCCGCGCCACGTCCACAGCACAAGAATCGCCCTCTAAATGCTCGCCCGTGGCCGCCCTTTCCTTCCTTTTCCCTCCGCCTGCATGCCGGCCAATTCGCTTTGTGGTGCCCCTGCATCGCTGCTACGGTTGAGCGGATCGTCCCGCCTCGCTGCCGACGGGAAAAGTTCGGCCGAACCGCTTCCGCAGTGCCTGTTCATCCTGGGCGGCCGCGGATTGCGCAGCGGGGCTGGGCGGGCGGGGAAGGAGCGAAGGCAGGAGCGGCGGTGGGGCGGGCGGGAGGGGCATCAGGTGACATCGGCAGAGATCGCAAGTATCGTGGAGAACGGTGGAGTGAGACACGCAAGATGACGCACATGCCCTCACGCACGAGCAAGGCGCAATCTCTTTCGCCCAATCCACATGCTACTCACTATCCCTTGCGATCTCGTGAGCCCCATGCTGGCACTTCGACGGTGCAACAAAGGATCGAAGTGCAACGCGCCTTCTGTGGAGGTTACAAAAGCAACTCCTGGTTGCCGAGGAAAAGCCATCCAGGCGTCGCGCTTCCATCGCCATCTCTTTTGACCCAACGAAGCGTGGAGCACTCGGATTTTGTCAACACTGGACCTCTTTGAGTAACATGCTTGCCATAACCTCTCCATCACAACGATGCCGCGCGGAAGCTCAAGAAGTGAAACAACACTGCGGGACACCCACTCAGATATAGAACCCTTCCGACATGCGACACACTGATAGAATTAACCCAAGCCCTCCTCTGCCCCGGGAGATGAGAAGTCTCCTACATGGGTTCCGAGCCGATGGGGTCGAAGGATCGCGCCGCATCGCCGATGCATCGGTGACGTCGGCGGAGAACATCGGGCTCCACATCGAGCCGCATCGCCGGTGCATCGGCGATGCGGCGCGATATTCTGACCCCATGTGCTCGGACCCCATTTGGGAGGCCTAGGAGTGATGCAACCTGTATTCTCCACATCACAAGCTGCCCGATCCCAATCGGCCTGCGCCAGGGCGGGCAATTACCAATGAACGCATCCCATTGCAGATAGGTGCATGGCTCCCGCGCGAGAGCAATGTCGGCGGACCCCTGGCTGCCCTCCTGAGATCGACAGTGACAGCGGCGCGATGCGGAATAGCCTCAGGTGGAACCATCAGCAGTGCCCGCAACAGGAGGTGGAGCATCGCTAGTTGGTTTCGATTTGCCCCCCTGCGATGTTGCCGTTGTCGTGCTCTCGTTTCCTTCTTTCTGCGATCATGCTATCCCCTGTTCTCCTCTAAACCTTTCCCAACACTACTCCGTTCCTCTGTCCTCCTCCGCACTCCCCTGTAGTCCTCGACATCCCCACATGCTCTCTTGCATTTCTCCGCCCCTCTCCCCATTCTTTTCCGCTCCGTAATGCTATTCCCTGCCCCCTGCCACTGACTTTGGACTGGCGTGTGGAGCAGTGCATCGGGCCGCGGAGGAGTCGGAGAATGTGCTGAGGCAGGTGGACCCTGCAGCACGTGCCATCACGACGCAGGGTGCAGCGCGCTCTAGTGGCAAGATCGGAGTGCGGGAGACCGCACAGTCGTACTTCCTCCCTGCGAGCGCGTGGCTGGATGTGGTCTCCGTCTCTGGGGGCGATACTCGAGGGCGGCGCACGGGGGCGACGCGTGGGGGCGACACACATGGGGCAAGCACGTGGGGGCGACACTCGGGGGCAAGACATGGGGGCGGCACCCGAGAGCTACATGGGGGCGACGCTCGGGGGGCGTATCGCCCGCGCTGCCAACCCCTTCACGCGCATCCGCAAGCGCGGGGTGCTGCGTATTTGAAACCACTCTCACGGGCCGTGGGAGGGGTGGGGAGCGCAAACAATCCGCCGACCCCCGCGTGCTGGGGGTGGAACGGCGTGAGACATTTGGCTGTCCCCCTCCCCCCTTCCCCCTCCCCTGGGGTCCAAAATGCTATTCTGCGGGGGGGGGGGTGTCCACCACGAGCTCGCCAGCGCCTCTCCCGGGGCCTCTGGAGCCTCCAGAAAGCCCCAAGACGGCCCAAGCGCGCCCAAACGGAGCGCCAAGATAGTTCAAGAGAGCGTCGAGACGGCCAAGGATAGCCCCACGACGGTCCAAGATGGTTCGAGATGGCCCACGAGGCCCCCAAGACGAGAGGGGCCCACGATACCAGACTCGTGTCAGCCCTTTCGGAAAACGTGAACTTTTAGCATGCTCACCTTTTTTGCGTCCTGACAGCGTCCAAAACGGGCCAGGGGGGCCCAATATCGTCCCAGCAGGGCTCATGAGGTCTCCAAGAGGGCCCCAAGACAGCCCAAGAGAGCCCCAAGACTGCCGCAGGCTCCAAGACGGCGCAAGAGAGCCCCAAGAGAGGGGCCCAAGAGGGGAGATACGAACTGACATTTCGAGCCTTTCTCCCCAGGATGGCCCCAAGAGCCCCCCCGACGCCCCCGAGGCGCTCACAAGAGGCTCCCAAAGGCCGCCAAGAAGTCCCCAAGAAGCCCCCAAAGAGGCCCCCAAGACGGCCCAAGGGCCCCTAAAAGGCCCTCCAAGAGGCCCCTAAGAGACATCCCACGAGCCCCTCATATGCATCCAAGAAGCTCCTGGCCCACTAGATAATTTCCAAGATCGTCGCAAACACTCGCTCCTTTTGAAGGGCCGTAAACCACTTGAGCAGGAACAACACGTACGTATTCCACCAGGAACGCGGGAGACCTGACGCCTAAGCCTGAACCCACATACATTCAACCCATACTCATTACTCCCAACCCTCCGTTGGGCTCTTGTTTTGAACAGAGCATCGCGGTCCCCACCTCCTCCTTCTCCTCCCTCCTCCCTCCTCCTGCCTCCTACTTCCTAGATGCCTCCTGCTTAAGGCCCTCAAGCTTTGTGCCTCCCACCTCGTCATCCCTGGGGGGCTGCGAACTGCGAAACTACCGCCACTTTTCGATAGCTGCTGGGATGCCATCATAGTGAGGCACCGAGCACAGACTCAGATTAGACCTCACAATTTCTGAAGGGCTGCGAGTTGTGAAGTTACCGCCGCTTTCTAGGGTTTCTGGAGGACGACCCAGCATAGTGGGTACCGAGCCACGTAGCTCGCACCACATATATTCACAGCTCAAACTACATGGCTCACACCACATATAATGCAACAGACGGATCGCACCACACAGTTTACACACCCAAAACAATAACCCACTTCTTGCACTCCACGCTGGTACATTGTTTTCAAGCCACAGTGACCCAACCATCCGCAAGCACTGCGTACCACCAAAGAGAAAGGCTGCGCCCCAGTGTGCAACGGGGTAGCGCCTGCTGAGCCTGGGGAGCCGAAGGAACGAGAGAAAGAGTGGGCAGCGTGATTTCCAGAACCGCCCTGCCGACGACGTAAACACTCGGGGCGGAGACATCGAGTTACGGACGCATCCAATAAACGGGATAGCAAGCATCGCGGGCGCACCAGAACGATCAAAATACATACGGAACCATAACCCAACACGTAACTGGTGCTTGTATGCATCACGGAAGTACCCTGGCGACAGCATATCAAGAAAGGAGAGCGACACACATAAGTAATGCAAAGCGGAAAGTATAGTGAAAACCATGGCGCCCCAAACCCGACCAACCGCCACTGAGGAAGGAACCGCGCGACACAAGAACACCACACGCAAGGTGCAGTTCACGTAGTCGGACGATCTGGTACGATTCGGCTGGCCTCTAATATAACACCGAACTATGCGTGCCAGTATGGGAAGCACGTGCAAGTGACGGGGAGACGAGAGGACGATCACACTTACCCGAAGAGCCTCGTCGCAAGTCCTTCTACAAAGGAGAACACTGTAAGAACTCGAGGAAGCACGCGGAGACATCATCTGCTCAACATCTGCTCGCCCCGAACCGCCCAACGCATGTGCGCATTGAGAAAGATTCGCTTGAGCGGAACTTCCTCGCGCCGATGTTGCGACGCCCTGGGGTAAACCTCATCTGTACGAGACATTGTTGCAATCCACTGTTCGCATTGCCTTGATCCAAGCGTCGCGCGTCGGCCTTGTGAATCACACCAAGAATTGCTCTCATGTGCAGAACTGAGACAACACGCCGTCTACTTGGACTCCGGTCGAATAAACACAATCGCCGTGTGAATTCAATGCAGGGTGTCAGCCGCAAACGCTGAGCGCACCCAACACATGCACAACATACACCGCATCGCACCGCAAGAACAACGAGACGAGAACTGCAAACAACGACGCGTCTTTTTCCATTTTCGTATATTTGCCATGCGGTGTTGGCACAACCTCCTCCTCTCGAACCGGTACGTTGCAAGAGGACTCCAATGTCAATCGCTAACCTGCCTTGCTCCAAACGCTATTCTGCGACGATTCGCCCTCCACCTCCAATCCGTTTTTACCATCTGTGTCCCGTCTCCTTCTGACGCCTCCCCGTTCCCTGTCCCTCCCTCCAATCAACCTTCACTTTCCCGCTAATATGATATCCCCCGCAACGTGCCGATCGTCCACCCCCTCCTCCTCCGCATCCCTCCTCCTGCCGCCGCCCCCCCCCTTCCCCCTTCGCGTCCAAAATTTTGGCCCATTAGCCTCATACTCTTTTCCTGGAAGCTGGCCCGCCGACCCCTCCGCGGGACTGGATGTGCCCTGCTCCAGCATGAAGGAACAATATCGTGGTTGCACATGAACAGAACAGTAGTTGTGCTGTAGAGTCGCTGGCGCGTGAAATAGTGTAGCCTACGTTGACGATTACCAGCCAGCGTTGACTCGAAATGGAAAACTCTACCCTACCTTACTCTACTCTACCCTACTCTACTCTTCTATACTCGACTCCACTAAATTTACGCTACTCTACTATACTCTGCGCTACCCTATTCTACTCCACTCCACTCCACTACACTCTACGCTAGTCTCCCTCCACCCTGCTCTAATCGACGCTCTACTCTGCTCTATCCAACTCTACTCTACTCCACTCGACTCTATTATATGCTACTCTACCCTACTCTACTCTACTCTGGCCTAGCCAACCCTACTCTACTCTACGCTACTCTACTCTCCCCAACTCTACTCTACTCCACCTTACTCTCATATACTCTACTCTACGCTACTCTACTCCACTCTATTTCACCGACTTTACTGTATTACATATACTCGGCCCTACTCTACCATCTACCCTACCTTGCTCTACCCTACCCTGCTCTACTCTACCCTGTTCGGCCCTACCCTACTAACCCAATCTACTCCACTTTACTCCTACTCTACACTATCCTGCTCTACTATACTCTACTCATACTCTCTTCCACGCTACTCTTCACTATTCCTCTCTACGCTAGCAGACGGGGCCATGCAGATAACAGAGGCAGCCATGTGCATAGTTGGACGACTGTACGTGTGACAACGGGGGGTGGGTGTGGTGGTGGTGGTGGTGGTGGTGTTGGTGTTGGTGTTGGTGTTGGTGTTGTTGTTGTTGTTAGTGGTGGTGTTGGTGGTGTGTGTGTGTGCGTGCGTGTGTGTGTGTGTGTGTGTGTGTGTGTGTGTGTGTGTGTGTGTGTGTGTGTGTGTGTGTGTGTGTGTGTGTGTGGGGGAGGAGGGGCATGCGCATAGCAGATCACATAGGACTACATGCGCATAGTTGGACGAACGTAGGGGCAACATCGGAGCGGGTGGGGTGGGGGGGGGGGAGGGGCGGTGGACCAGTTCCCGATGGCCTGAGATAGGGCTTTTAGAGGCAAGCCTATTTGGAGAACGCATGCGATAGCATAGCAGTAAGTGGTGCAACCACAGAGTCGCAACGTACTGCGATACTCGACTGGCAACGCGAGGGGGTTGCGCATGGGTGCTTATTGCTTGCGCCCTGGTGTCGCACGCGTTCGTGCAAACATATAACATATACCTGGACGTTTTACACCACCTCTACATTGTGCCACCGCTGGTAGCCCCCCCCTTGCTGTAATGCAATATCCAAGAGGCCGCCCCTTACCCTGCAACTTTTTCACGCTTTACTCCTGTCCTCCCCTGGCTGCTTGGACACCCCAGGCATCCAAGATATCGATCATTAAACTGCCTGTTGAGTCAAGCTACGAACGACAAGTATGCTTT